TCCGATCCATGAACTTGGGTGCTGCGGAGGGAGAGAAAGGCGGCACGGGATGCGGAACAAAAAAGGAGGCCCGGAATGCGCCAGGTGTGGCCAGATGTTGATTTCAAGCAAATTCCAGATGTTCACGAAAAACATCTCTTCAGATGGTGAATGGCCCAGATGGTAGGACCTTAGGACCCTGCTGTCGACTCAACACCTCCCCGCTGGGTGACCCCCGCGGGGGCGCGGAACCAACTCTCCGGACACATCGGGACACCAAAGGGGCGGATGTGAGACTCCAAGCGACCTCGCCGACCTCGCCGACCTCGGCCTCACCTCGTCCTCTCGGCCTCACCTCGTTTCCACCACCACGATAGACTCGACTCCACACGACTCGATGAGACTCGATGAAGTTGACGTGGCACACGTGAAAAAGCCGGTCGCCCGACCCTTGAGACGTCTCTTCATGAAGCGAACGACGACTTGTCGCTTCGCAGCATGTCGCTTCGCTTCGCTCCAGCAGTTCCTTGCAGGTGAACCGGTCGATATCCTGGTGCCATGACCCATCCCATTGCATCCGCCATGTCTTTTAAACCCAATGGCTACTTCTTGGATCTTCTTGGTGGCGCCCACTCGAACGCTGGTCGGAGTTGTGCGCTGGTTTTCGCTCTCCCCGCGGCAGGGTGTCGACATGAACTTCTTTTTCAACGGCGCTCGCTGGCCTGGTTGTGCGCCGAGTAAAAGAACGAGGTTCTCCCAGGTGTTGCGGTGAAAAAGAAGGCCCAGGTGTTGCCTACCAGAATCATCCAGAAGCATTGAGTCCCTTGGTTTTCTAGCGGCGTTCTCAGCATCGCCGCGATGCATCATGTTCTGACGTGGGACGAAGTCCAGGTGCGGATGTGAACGAACTAATACTGTGACCATGGCTTTCTCCCTTGTAGAAACGCTTTGGGAGTATCGGAGTACCATGTTTTTGTTGGTGGTTTTTGATCATTTTCTGGTCGAACTTCCAGGACCAGACACTGTCTGGTTGAGGGATGTTGTGGACTGCATCCTACAGAGCTTGAACCACCCAGACACAACCCTAGAGTAACAGTTTAGCCTATCCCCATCCTATCCCATATACCACCAAAAAAGGGTCCCATAAGGTCTCTGAACCGTTCTTGGATGGTACAAAGCCGACCCCCCACTGCCAGGCACCAAAGTGTCACAAGCGGAGTGGCAGCGCTGCGCGGTGTAGGTCGAAAAGAGTGGACCCTTGTCGGGGCGACGCTTGGAAGCTCCGTTTGATGGATCTATGTACTTGGGTGTGCAACCCAAAAGTAAAGGGTTCTGTTTTGACTCCAAAAAGCACAACACACATCATGAAAATGCATGAATAATCTGAGAAGAATGTGAGAACATCTTTGTTACGATCCACAAATCCGCTGATTTCCCTTCTTGAGTGTCCCACGGCCCTGGTTGTTGGTGCCTTTTGTTTGGAGATATTTTGCCCGCCTTTCAAGTTGGTTGGTGGCCCACAAAAGGGACCTATTGAGCATCCCCTTTGTATGAATATATATATATATTATATATGTATTTAGTTAGTTATATATTTTTTGTTGGTGGCCGGTGGATGTGGGATCAATGCGGATAGAGACATGGTGGGATCTTCCTCGCCACGTGGAACGTACGTGACGACCGACTCTGTTGATACCCACTGTGGTTTAAGGACGCCACTAGTACCAAAGGGCATCGCTACTATGGGCGCAAGGACGGAGGACGCTAAGCTCGTGGCTCCTGGCATCGCTACGAACGGAGCATTCTTACTACTATAGTAACAAGAAGCTACTAGTAGCAAAGGGCATCGCTACTAGGAGCAAGGACGCTACTAGTAGCTCCTGGCCTTACTACTAGGAACAAGAAGCTACTGCAGCAGTAATGAAACCCAACCGAATGTTTTTTCTGACTTCCATCGTTTGCCTGATGGACTTCATTTGTCTATAGAAGCCGCATGATCCTTGGATGTGCAGGCCGATGTAAAGGTTAAAAAATGGGTTCGATGTGCTTCGTTGTTCTGCAAATGAGTGACGAAGCATGGAATATCACGGAATCTATTGGAATCTCATTTATACTGTAGATCTTACTTAGATAATCTTATATTGATATCCTTCACTATATCCTTCATGTCTGTATCTACCCTGTTCTTGCTGAGCCCTTCCAAGACATGGTCCGTCCCAGTGTCCAACGTTTATCCAAAAGGATAGCTGTCAATCTCGTTCTGTGGTCCATTTTGAAGTCTGCGGCTGAACAGACCCTCCCAGTGGTTGATCCCCTGACTGGTGCTGATCTACTTGACACATCCTAGCCAGACCTGGCTTGCTGGCTTTTCATGACAGAGCTTTCAACGACGTTCTGAAGGATTCCTACTTTGAACAGTTAATGCCCGGACATTTGAGTGTGCGTCGTTTGTATCGCACGGTGCTGTGCGAACACAGTTTTCAGCTGGCAGATGACCATGCAGTGTCCACCCACACCTGCGAAAATCCTGCAGTCGAGAGAATGCCACCGAATCACATCTTGCAACCGTTTAATCATATATATATACCATATATATATAATCTATCCATTAATTATCGATATTTAACGATGTATTCCTCTTTGAAGCGTTCAAGAGATGTTAACCACCAAATCAGTGATTGTACATGGAGAAGATATATAACTAGAGGGAACCCTGCATCCCAAACATGCGTTATGTTTTTCAGCGTTGGACTGTAAAAAATCCATGGGACGACCTTTGGATCCAGATGATTGATGTCAAACAGGCTTGTGTAGACAGGAGTGTCCTGTCGTGGTGCTTCACCATCTCAACCTTTGGGAGCGGCAGGTTTCAATGTTTGTTGCTGGTAGACCTTTCCAAGGATGATGTGATATCAATGTCAGTGTCTAAATAAAGATCTCCCCTAACAGTCCCGATCAGTGGAAAAGTTAATGAACTTGTGGCAGATTGCAATACCCATGCAGTTGTACAAAGATAGATGGTTTGTTCATCCGCGTGTTGATTCTCTCGTCGATCTAAAAGGCTCATATCGCCAAAAACCCTTCCATGCTTCGGCTCGAATCCTCAACAGGTGTTCCGAATCCAACAATCCAACATGCTTCGCAGCCTCTTTTTTTCTTCGTCGGGTTCCAAAGAATTCATCACAGCCTCTTCCCGCATCTCCGACATCGGACCGCCTGCGTGGCCGTCGAATGGCACGAATGACACCGGCACCTCTCGCCGCCCGGCACTCGGGCGAGAGGAGGGTCCAGACATGGCGAAAACCGAGCAAAAGCAGCGGCGCGATGGCATCGGTTCCAAGACGTTTCCACAAACAACATATTCCCCCTTCAAGAATCATGGACGTGGACAATGACAACTGTAGGAAAATGATGCTCCTCGTCCAAAATACATGAGACAGACTTCCAAGGGTTCGCCCAGTGATTCGGACTTCCAGTGTGATCCCCAGTATAGTTCAAACATCTCTACTAATGTGTTTCACGTCCATCTCGGTCACAACCCAGCAGATCAAAGGACCTGCTCTGATGGTGATCGAACTGACCTGCAGATCGAGCGACCGTGATCATTCACCAGGGGTCCTTTCTTGATCACAAGTGATGTCTTTGGATCTTAATAATATGGGTGTGTATTTTGATAGGGAAGCACCCAAACAATGGGTGTTGGTCCATGTTCCTTCTTCCCGGTGGTCTTTTAGAGGCCTCCCTGTTCTAATACACACCCAAAGTCAACGAACAGCTAAAACACAATTGATGCCCAGGTTGTTTTTTTTTGAATTCGGGAACAGGGAAGCATGAAAGCATTGTTTTGGCCCAATGTAGAGTGAGAGTTGTTGCATCACATCGCGAGTTTGGACCCTCACACGGATGAACTGTGTCAACGAGGGCCCCGAGGGCGCTGAATGGAAGGGGCAAGCTGTGAATGGCATGGAAGGAGCAGAGACTGTTGCACCAATTGGGTGTGTGGAAGTGTGTGTGGAATGTGTGGATTGTACCTCTCACAGTATCCAAAGTCCCCATGGAGCTACAGGGAGTTCACCAAGCCCTTGCTAGTAATTGACGAACTCAATCTGCTTCGGGCCCGGTGAAGCCTATTGGTTGGGGATCTCTCTATTCAAAGTATTGATTAGAATACACATGCACTCATATTCCGAATCAAATTCCAGTGTTTTGGGCAGCGTGCAGGGGTGAAACAGGGGTCCTGGCTTGTTTCATCACGAGTAGTGCTCTTTTGCGCTGGCTGGGGGCTACTAAGTCCACATAAATCATATGCATTGCATATCCCACAGAAGTCCAGTTCGACATAGTTCGACTTAACCCATTGAAGTAAAGGAAGCTCCTTGTCAGATGACAAGGAGCTCACCCAAGACCATTATTTTTTTGTGGTCTTTGATTTCCAAAGTATCATCAAAAGGCTTGAACCCATTTTTTATGTGTTGCGCTTTTAGGTTGGCTTTCCCAAACAGGTGGGAACGAAGTCCAGGATGAAGATTTGTGAAGCAGGAACAGCAGTAGGAACTGCATGCACAAACTAAATGGGCCGAAGGGATTGCAAATGAAGTTGGGTGATGTCAGTACAGATCTCTTCGCAGCTTGCGCGATGAGTGGTCGCAGCAGTGCGTAGATCTTTTGCGGACAGCGCAAAGATAAAAGATGGTGCCGTTGAGATGTGGGAGAATTGACCAAAAGCATAAACCATCATAAGCCCATCCCATTGGTCGTTCTTCGTGAAGTCTAATGTCGATGAGATGTGGCGTGTATATATGTTCATCGTGTTCAACCCGAACCTGTCTGACTGGTGCTTAGTACGGCTGATGACTCTGTTAAGAAAGATGCTTTTTTAGAGTAGACTCTAGATTATTTCTTAACTATAACCTTTTAATTAAGAAATGTGGCTAGCAGGTAGACTCTAGACTCTAAATAAGGTTTCTTATTCTATTTTCTCTCCCTCGAGCTCTAAATCGCTCAACCGCATCGCTATGCGCATGGTCTTCGACTTCTTCGACCCGTATCCCCGGATGTTGTATAATGTTCTATCATGGTATAATGCTCAAGAATCTGAGATGAGGGGAGGGAGGGAGGGAGGGAGGCTCAAAGTTGAAGGCTGCGATGGGATTTCTAAAGAGTTTTAGACCAGTCTCAGACCACCCGAGAGGACAGGTTGGGGACAGTTTTTTGTGAGGCAGATTTAAACAAAGTGAAGCTTTTGCTCTACGGACGTATCATGGAAAGGGGTCATAGATGATGTCAAGTTTGTCATTTTACACCTGCACCCTGGAGATCCAAGGGTCACTGTCTAAAAGCGGATGTTTGATCGCAAGATTAAATAATGCGGCCCTTGTGCCGCGTCATTCCATGTGGGGTCTGTAAGTGAGATACGTACGGGGGTCTACAGGATAATGAAGGCTCGCTTTTAATTCGGTACCATTATGGTCGTAATTCGGTGCGTCCAATAGTACCTAATTGCGGCCGTAGTGGTACCGAATTAAATGCTCCTCTTCATGCATCCACTCCATGTTCTCCAATAACTTCCGATGACCATCAGTGACCATATCACTTTTGCAGCTCCACATGCGTTTTGTGCTGACGGTTTGGAACTTCAGGTTTTTGAACCCAAAATGTAAGTTTTGAACCTTTTTGGAAGCAAAGTGGCACCACGGATGTTGTATAATGTTCTATCATGGTACAATGCTCAAGAATCTGAGATGAGGGGAGGGAGGGAGGGAAGGAGGGAGGGAGGCTCAAAGTTGAAGGCTGCGATGGCGATGGGACTTCTGAAGGGTTTCAGACCAGTTTCAGACCACCCGAGAGGACAGGTTGGGGACAGTTTTTTTGAAACCGATTTAAGCAAACTGAAGCTTTTGCTCTACGTACGTATCATGGAAAGGGGTCATAGATGATGTCAAGTTTGTCATTTTACACCTGCACCCTGGAAATCCAAGGGTCATTGTCTAAAAGCGGATGTTTGATCGCAAGATTAAATAATGCGGCCCTTGTGCCGCGTCATTCCATGTGGGGTCTGTAAGTGAGATACGTACGGGGGTCTACAGGATAATGAAGGCTCGCTTTTAATTCGGTACCATTATGGTCGTAATTCGGTGCGTCCAATAGTACCTAATTGCGGCCGTAGTGGTACCGAATTAAAAGCTCCTCTTCATGCATCCACTCCATGTTCTCCAATAACTTCCGATGACCATCAGTGACCATATCACTTTTGCAGCTCCACATGCGTTTTGTGCTGACGGTTCGGAACTTCAGGTTTTTGAACCAAAAATGTAAGTTTTGAACCTTTTTGGAAGCAAAGTGGCACCACGGATGTTGTATAATGTTCTATCATGGTACAATGCTCAAGAATCTGAGATGAGGGGAGGGAGGGAGGGAGGGAAGGAGGGAGGGAGGCTCAAAGTTGAAGGCTGCGATGGCGATGGGACTTCTAAAGGGTTTCAGACCAGTTTCAGACCACCCGAGAGGACAGGTTGGGGACAGTTTTTTTGAAACCGATTTAAGCAAACTGAAGCTTTTGCTCTACATACGTATCATGGAACGGGGTCATAGATGATGTCAAGTTTGTCATTAAGGGTGCGCGCTCTTTCTCTTTCTCTCTCTCTCTCTCTCTCTTTCTTTCTCTTTGTGGCAGGGCCCTTCAAATTAGAACTTAATACGTATTTAAAAGAAAACGTGTTTTTTTTGACAAATATAGATCTAGAGTCTAGAAACAACTCATTTTCCGAAAAAATAGAGTCTACTTTCTTGTTTAAGAATACTTCTTAACAGAGATAGAAGCCGTAGAGAATGAGGGAAGTTTCGCCCCCAATAGAGATTCCTTTGGATCCATTCCCTCATTCCCTACGAGTCACACCCACGCCGTCACGGCCGAGGCCCGCGCGGGCAGCGGATTGGAGGGTGGAAGCCTGGGGAGTGCTGAGCTCCTCGGAAAGGAAGCGCATGGAAGCGAGAAAGTCCGGTGTTGAGAAAGTCTACACTGGAATCATCATGGAAGTGGAACATGGCCCCTGGGAAGCCATGTTCCTTTACAAAGAGGTGGTTTGCCACTTCCATGACTGAGAGCCAGGTGTGTGGATCTTGGGTCTTTCGCTTCCCCCATGACTCTTGGGGTCTTCTTGGCCCGCCCTCACTGAGCGTTCGGGATGAATCGACAAGGAGGACCCCGAGTCCGGTTTCTTTGAGGCCCTTTTTTGCCCTTTATTGGATTGCTAAAAACTACATCCATCCTTTCCTGCAGCCCTTCCCTGTTTGATGGGTTTGGACACGACACCCATGGCATCCCATGTTTCGTTTTTTTGCGACCTGTAACCTGTATGGTTTGGGAGAGCATCTGGGATCACGATGGAAGTGACTCTTGAAACCCTGGAGTAGATAGAATATGAGTTGAATTAATCCATATGAATCAATCTAAGAAGATTATGGATTTGTTTTTGGATCCATATGCTATCTAGTCAAGGACGACTATATATAATTATATATAATTATACATATATATATATACACACATGTGCGGATATATTATTCATCATTGGAGTGTTAACGTTTAGTTGTTACATTTTTGTGACAATGACTTGACGTAGAGGATATCATACACAGTCAGGCATTGAAATGTTTTTGTACTTATTAATGAGTTGATTAATTGTTTAAAGGCCGAAGTGTCTTTCCCAATGGTTGCCCGATGGCTACTGAACTTGATGTGTAGCGTTGACTCCCCTTGATGTGCTACTGTTGACTCCCTGAGTCTGTGTCCAAACTCCCCATCTCCTTTGATCTCCTCTGAGGCTGTTGGATGAGGCAATCAACTGCGTGGCAGAGGTGCTACCTGGCACCGCACACCCACCAAACTGGGAAAGTGGTGCACCCAGCAGCCTTTGAAAGAGAAACAATGAAACCCCGATGGGCCTATATGGATTTGTCGGATTTGTCAATCTTAGCCCGCAACTACATATCAACCACCTGTTGCGAGGGAAACGCGTCAGGCCCAACCTGATAGATCTCAAGTGGGCAGCTCACGTGGGTTGCCGAATGCTGCCTCAGTTCTCCCAAGATTTCCGCGCATCAATTCACCCAAAGCCTTTGCTTGGACATGCGCAAGCACCCATCATAACTAGATCGAATAGATCAGAAGTTCCAGGTCTCCAAAAACTCCGGAGACTGTTCTAAAGGCGACCCACACTAGCCTTGGGCCGTTCTTTTTTCGGTCACCGAACCACGCCATTTTTTTTTCCAGGCTTTTGGGAACAGCTCGAGCTCGCCGCCGAAGGAGCGAGTGGGGGGTGGAGGGGCTGGAGGTGGCTGTGACAAGGAAAGCACTCCATGGAATTGATTGACACATATAGGCCGGTGCGGTCACAGGCCTGGTCACTCGTTAAATACAGTTTTCCGAGGTGCCGGTGACACCCTGAAGGTTGGATCAGGGTGGTTTGGTCGTGTCACATACTTATGTGTATGATTTTGTTTAACATGATTTAACCTTTACCACCAATATTTGGGCACGATATGGCACGATTCAGATGAGAAGATGGAGAACATCCTTCCAAAGAAGTGAACCATTCTCCTTCCTTCCTTCCTTCCTTCCTTCCTTCCTTCCTTCCTTCCTTCCT